TGTAGAATCAACATTGAAAATGTGTTGTGTATTTTTAAAAATGTATCCATTACATACTTAACATTATTTCAATAATAAATAAATGTTGAAAAATGGTTTACATATTGAAATTACATTAACAACATTAGTTCAACATCTTTTTAATGGTTAAAATATAGTTTGTATTTTAACATATAATCAATGTTTAAACTATGTTATGTTTTTCTGCCAAAAACCATAGTTTATTCAAAGTTATCTTTACGTTAAAAATATGTTGAGATTTTAATGTTATAGTAACAACGTAAGTTCAACATTTTTACAACATCAAGTTAAATTATAGTTTGCATTTTAATGTGGAATCAATGTTGAAAAAGTGATATGTTTTTCAACCACAATCTTATTGTTTATTGAACATTTTTTTAACATTAAATAAACATAGCAAATATGTTGAGATTTTAAAGTTACAGTATCAACATAAGTTAAATGTTTTTCAGTGTCAAATTAAAATATTGTTTTTACTCAACTTTAATTCAACACTGAATTCACTTTGAAATCTGGTTGAAATTTTAACATAACAATACAATGTTAAGTCTAAATATAATTGTTATTTCAATGTAGAATCAACGTCCATTAATTTAAATCAAAGTTATTTCAACAATAACATTTAAAACTGGTTTTGGATATTAAAATTACAGTAACAACATTAGTTCAACATCTTTTCAATGTAATGTTAAAATATAGTTTGTATTTTAATGTATAATCAACGTTCAATGTTACCGTATGTTTTTTCAATTAAAACCTTGTTTATTCCACATTAGGCCTATTTAACGTTAAATAAACGTTGGAAATGTGAGATAGGCTAAATTTACAGTAACTATATAAGTCCAAAATCTTTTTAACGTCAACATAAAATTGCATTTCAATGTAGATCAACGTTAAAAATGTGTTATGTTTTTCAACCAAAGACCTATTGTTTATTTAACATTTTCTCACCGTTGTTCAACAATAAATTCTGGTTGAGATATTAAAATTTCAGTAACAACATTACTTCAACATCTTTTCAATGTTAAGTTAAAATATAGTTTTTATTTTAACGTATAAGCAACATTTAAAATAAGTTGTGTTTTCAACCCGGAGTTTAAAATTTTACCAAATTTTATTTCAACAATGAATTAACTTTGAAATTGGGTTGCGATTTTAACATAACAATTGCAATAGGCCTATATTTATTCAATATTTTTCCAACGTTAACTTTACTTATAGTTTTTATTTCAATGTAGAATCAACATTGAAAATGTGTTATGTGTTTCTACAAGTAGGCCTACCCATTATTGACTCAACATTATTTCAACAATAAAAACGTTGAAAACTGGTTGAGATATTAAAATCACAGTAATAACATAAATTGCAACATCTTTTCAATGTCAAATTAAAATGGAGTTTGTATTTTAACGTATAATCAACATTTAGAATGTTATTTTTTTCAATCAAGTTTAAATTTCTTTAACTCAACCTCAACTTGATATGAAATTTCATAGAAATAATTGTACAAGATTTATTAAAGTTTACCTCCATGGTGGTGTATAAAAAAACTCATAGGCCTATTATGAGAGCATATATGATCTTTAATCATTATGGTAATTACATTGGTTCTCTGTCCTTGAAAGTGTGGCAAGTAATGGGATAATCAGATTAGGTCATTAGGCACAGACCAATCAGAAACAAATGCTCATTTTTTGAAGTATCATCAGTTGCTGTAAAGCTGTCTTCATACACAGTTTACATATTAAAGAATTTCAGCATTATCAAATAAATGGTAGGAACTTTATATTTGTATACTATATTAGAGGGTGTATCTAAACTAGCCGAATATCTTAACTGTATAGGCTTGCTTTATATATATTATGTGGTTGTCTTTTGTTCTAGCTAAGATATGCCAGCCAGTCCTCTGGCCCTAGCTAGTAAAAGAGACTAGGCCTAGACTAGAGTACTGTTGTAGGGTAGTGTAAAGGCATAGTTGGGATAATTTTACTTGTTTGGGCTACACTGCAACTTGGATGTGTGGGCTAAGTTTAAATTATTAGTGGTAATTTTTAATCGCCGAGGCCTAGACCTTTCTTTGCAAAATGGCCACGTCCTGTGTTGAATGCTATAATAGGTCTATATTAAATTAAATATAATGTTAAAATGTGGTTACATGGACAAAGCGCAAAAATAAATAAAACAGCTAGGCCTAGGCCTATTATGTGTATTTAATAATTCATCTCATATCATGGGCCTATATACTGCCAGTGGTATAATAGCCACATCACGTCATGTCATCAGTAATCATTTTTTTTTTTTTTTGAAGATGTTAATAATGTAAATTTTTATATTTTCTTTCTATAAAGAGAAAAATTAACAATAGGCCTATATCTTTTGATAATAACATTTGAGGCTATGGTTAGCGTAATGAATAATAGAAATATAAAAATAGATATGGGCTAATTTAGTTGTGTGCATAGGCCTAACTCTAAATAATATGGTATTTCTTTCAGGTTTTCAATCCATTGACAGGAAGCCATGTTTGTTGCAATATATTGTTTGTGGTAGACACTGGGAAAAAATCGACTGTTGAATGTGTATTTATTTTGCCTCTTGGTACAAACTGATTGAAGAGCAGCCATGATGAAACAGTAAAGGTATTTTTATTGTTAAATTTTGCAAGAATATACTGCACATTTGCTAATACCACTATCCCACGGCAATAAGTGACTACCCTACTGTGTCACAGTAATAACTATAAGTCTTGGGTACCTAAGAAGTCATACAAACAGTAA